GGCCTTCTTGTTTGGAAGATTTTGAAGACCATATGAAACCATTAGGCATTCCTGATCTCAGAAGTTAGCTATGACCACTACTCCCTGGCAGCTTACCCATTAGCCTAGCTGTGAAGCATTAAGGATGGCGAGGTATAGGATCCATCTTGAGATCAGAGGGTAGTGGAAGCTGAGAGCCATTACTAAGAGCACTTGTCTCAGGAAAAAGAAGATGCCATTCACTCCTAACAGCTCCTGCATGTCTTTCTTCCTTTTCAGCTTTTGAAGGATGTGCAGTGTTACTCTCCCTTCATTCTCTTTCCACTGTCATAATGTAAGATGTAGCATTTTTAATTCTTTCAGTACAGAGCCACAAAGGGAAAAAAATGTGGGAATCACTTTTTTTTATGGGTAAAAATGAAAATTGGTGTTTATGCCATTAAAATCTCACTGAGAAAAAGATGAGATGCTGCTTTTGCTGATGTAGTGACATAATGAAAGTACTGTTCTAAATCTTTAGAATTACATCCATTGGAGCATGAGCTAATATATAGAGTGAATTTGCCATTTCAACCACGTAAGTTACCCCATGGGTTTTTATGTACCTTGGGTAATGTTGTCTTAGAAAAACTTTTCTAATGCAGTAGATACTACATTCTAATGGGAATGCAGTAGATACTACATTCTAATGGGAATGTAGTAATGTACAGATATCAAAAGTGACACTTAATGACTTAGGAGGTTCTCTAAGCTTTTCTTGACTGTTTCTAATGAACCTTTTCTACACAGCTATGGCAAGGTAAATTTTCAAAGCAGTATTATTCAGTCTTGCTACCACTACAGATAGTACTTGGTTGAGCCTTTGAAACTGTGTACTTGTGTGTAAAAAAATTAGCTTGTTTGCTTTTTTGTGGATTTTCTGGGGAATGTAAACACAAAAGCATTCCTCCCCATAGCATAGAAGCAGGGTTCACATATCAGAATCAATTCCTTCCAAGTGGCATATTTGCTGCACCTTGAAGGAATGCCAGGATTTAAGCTGATAAAAACTATTTCAGTTAAGTCAGAGCGGAATCTGAAATCACCAGAGATCCAGACCACATTTAAACCTAGCAGCGTGAATGAAGGAAAATTTCTTTTTGTCACAGGCTAATTAGCTAGAACCCACTGTTTCACAAATCAGATCTCTCCCTGCTGTTCAGAAAATCTTGGATAAAATAAATCTGCCTAACTAATGCCTAACTAATTTATATGTTTATGTATGTATCTGTACATAGATCACACCACTGCCCATTCCTTACAAATCCCTTCCATTTGCAAGCATCATGACTGGTTTAAAAAGGGAATATGTGCATCTATACTAAACAGAATTTGTAAAGTTAGATACCATGCTCATTCATCATTATTACGTCACATGTCTGTAAGAGTTTTGTGAAGTGCTCTGTTATTTTGAAAGTCAGTTTAATGACTGTTCACTATAAAAGTTAAAGCAATTATATATGATGCATAATTAACAATATAACTTCCAAATGTTCACATGTAATGCGTGTCAGATTTCAGTTGAAAAACCAAACAAACAACCTCAAGGTTGCAGTCTGCTCTTCAGAAGATTTATATGTTGTAACCTTAAAATATCGGCTGGTTTCTATGAGTGACCAGAGCAGTGTATTTGTGTTGCATTCTGTCCTTTATTTTCTTGAATCTGGCCAGAGTAATGATCAGATGTGATTTCTGACAAATACAGTCAGTGTTTGATCCACATATAGATCTGAATTGGTCAATGCTTTTTTTCTCATGGCATATCTCTTACTGGGATTATTTTTGTATAGGATATAACAAAGACAGATAAGCAAATAAGGAATTTCCAAAATTCAGCTGCGCTTGCTCTTATATTACTGCTGGTAAAATAAAAACATCTAGCAATACCAAATGAGATTGTTGACCACTACACTCATACTGGCGGAGATAGCCTGTTGCAAAACATTTTAAATCTAAATACTTTCCACAGATAAAGCAGCTTTATTTGTAACTAGAATGAAGAATAGAAGTGATTGGTCATGGATGCCAAGAATGCCTTGCCTTTGTCATACGAGTCCCTTGAGTGAGCTTGCTGCTCTATCCCTTCAGCACAAATTTCTACCTCCCACACATCTTTCCTGTTCTGTTTTTTGTGTACTTGCTTGTCATAGCCCTCCTTTGGATGCTCTCTAATGGCTTCTTGCCCTTCTTATATTATGGCACCCAAACCTGCAACCAGTGCTCGAGGTGAGGCCACACGAGTGCAGACAATCTCTTCCCTTGCTCAGCTGGCAATGCCGGGCACCCTGGGATATGGTTAGGTTCATACGAGTTTCTTTGGGTTATTCCCTTTAAACAGAGAAACAGTGACCCAAAGAAGGCATTTGAGTATCACATTTGGAAGGTAAGTGTTTTATATGGCCTTAAGTGTATTTTATGGCCTTACGTTGTGCCAGGGTAAATTTGGGCTGGATATCAGGAAAAACTTCTTTACAGAAAGGGTTGTTTAGCACTGGAATAGGCTCCCCAGGGAGGTGGTTGAATCACCATCCCTGGATGTGTTTAAAAACGTTTGGATGTGGTGATCAGGGGCATGACGTAGTTGAGGGTTGTTAGAGTTAGGGTAGTATGGTTAGGTCGTGGTTGGACTCGATGAGCATAGGATGGTTTGGGTTGGAAGGGACCTTAAAGATCATGTAGTTCTAACCCCCTGCTGTAAGCAGGGACACCTCCCTCTAGCCTGGGTTACTCACAGTTCCATCCAACCTGGCCTTGAGTGCTTCCAGGAAGGGGGCACCCACAACCTCATTCTTTTGGTCTTTTTCAACTTGAGAAATTCTATGATTCCATGATTCTATATACAAAAATAAAATTCTTTGTATGGAATTTTGTTTAATAGAACATTTATGTGATTTTTGGTGAAGTTGTCCAGCGAGGCCAAGTGATGCTTGAAGAAATTTTTATTTTACTTCTTTGCTTATATTGTGGCTGGTATAAGCTGCTTTTATTAGTTTAATAACAAGGGTAGGAAGAGGTCAAGCACTGGGAGATTAATTTAAAAACTAGCTCAGAAGAATTAGTCGTAGGAGAACAACTCTAGGGTGTCTGGCACGTATCAGCATTTTGTTTCATTGAACTTAAATATTGCACATGTATTCATAAAACATTTGTTGAGTTTAAGTTTCACAGTGTGTTCTTTCCTTTTTTTTTTTTTTTTTTTTTTTTTTTTTAATTTGTGGTAGGTCAGAATTAATGGTGGCAATTTCCTTCACCAATGGCCTAAATTTTCTTTTTAAACTCCAGTAGATGCCTTTTTAAAGAAGGGCTGGAGGCTCTTCTGGCAGCATCAAGACAAAGCATGGAATAACACTTCTAAATTATGTATCTACATTTGTATTAAAAACTACAGTGAACCTTGAGTTTTTCTGAAGTCACTACAGAATGTGTTTGTTGTTCATAGGTGAAACTTTGTATATTTTATATAGAAATATTCTGTACAATGACAATGGCATTCATCTGAAAGTTATATGTGAGATTATAAGAAGTACAATGGCTGTAGAAATGTACAGAAGCTGAATCATATATATATATATATTTCTAAGATTATCACTCATATTTTCCTGTTAAGTCTTTCTTTATTTGGAAAGAGGAAGAAACATCACAATCCTTTTTTTTTTTTTTTTTTTTTTTTTAAAGTAGCATTTGTATTGATTGGTTGCTTCCTTTATGTATTTTAAAGTGTCCAGGAGAGTAGTTGAATAATTTGTCAGCTTTCTTCATATGAACTTCTTGGGTATAGAGGACATATCTCTGTGCAAAGCTTTTTTATCTGTGGACAGCTTTGAGAGCATTTTCATAGTAGAAAAATTTGTTATATACTGTATCTGTTTATGGCACAGTTTAAAATAATCTGCAGTCAAGGGTTTTTTTTTTTTTTTTTCGTATTTTAGTGTTTAGTTTTTAGAGGTTATGATCATTATTAATTCAATTCAGACTAAGCACCAATGTCACAGACCTATGGGCCAAAGATGTATTGTCTGACTTTGACCCACAAGGATCAATGAACTAAGCTACTAGCTTATGGAATTAACTTGTATTGTGCAGATTCATACTGTGATTCTGTACCTGATAATACAATATCTTTACTGATGCACACAAAAACACAGCTATAATCTGTATCAGATACAGATTATTACAGATACAGGAATACAATTGCCCTTCAGCTAAATAAGCCAGCACAATTACTACAGTCTCCGTCTTTATGCTTTTAGATACTCTTGAAAAGCATACCAACACCCCAGAACACCTTTGTGTCCAATCAGTAGTTGTTATTGTATGGCTACAGCAATTTTAAGCCTGCCGTAAAAGAAGTGAAGCTTCTTGTTTGATCCTTGATTTAAGTGGGAAACAAGTGCTTAAGAAGGCTACTCAGTTAGCAGACAACTTATTCATCAGTGTCTAGATACAACCACAGACATACTTGTTGTTGTTTTTCTTCAGCAATAGAGAGGATGCTTGGTTGTGTCTTTGGTTGACATGTACCAGCAACTCTCTGCTAGTTCAGCAAAAGGCCAGGAAAACTGATTTCTACCGTAAGGGAAAGACATCTGTTTGGTTGAGAATGTCATATGAGAGGTTGTGAGAGTGGGCCACGGTAAGCAGATGATTCAGGCAAGCTATGCCCTACAAAATAAGTATTTTCTTTGCGCTTAAAGGGAGTCTCAATGGTAGGTGTACTTTGGTGATGACAATGTTCTATTTGAAGTGTTCTGGTCTCCATTTTTTCCCTCCTTCCAAATGACAGCTTCAGATGTCATCAAGGTCACAGCAACACTTCATCTTTCTAAGAAAGATTAATAGTGTGCCATAAAGTTTCCCTTTCCCTTGTGTCTTTGTCGGTATGTCTGTATGTCTGTATCCATCTGTGGAGCCTTTAAAAACCTTATCTTCTCAGCAGGCTTTTTTTTTTTTTTTTTTTTTTTTTTAATACAGCTGTAGGGGCCCCAGTGACCTGACCCAGTTGCACTTTAGAGGTGGCTGCCTTTTAATTATTTTGGTGCTGTTTGTGAAGAACTGGATAAAGGTAAGGTATACATTGAGTTTTTATCAACAGAAATGACTGATAATCAAACTTACTGCTTATAGAAGTCAGTCTGTCACAGGTTTTAAGAGGAATTGAAGCAGGACACCAGTGGATGTTTATGACAAATGCATCACTGCACTGTCGGGCTGTTTTAGTTAACAGGAAACAAATGCATCTTTTTGTTTCCCTCTTTATTGCTTCTGCAGTGTTTTCTGGTTAATCATGGCTGGAAAGAAATGATTCACCTCTGTTTTCCAAGCATGGAAGTGTCAATGGATTCTTTCCTTTCTGTGGGTGCTAACACATGGAATTGCTGTTTCTACTTTGTATCTATGGTGGGTTGGATTCTGGCATAAGTACAAAGACATGCTCTGTTTATTTAAGGGTGCTGTTTACGTAGTTCCACTAGAACTTGGCCTGATGGTCCTTTATGGTTTATCTGAAAAACTTAACATCTTCTCATCTATCTGTGCAATTGACTTGAAATGACTGCAAATTGAAATATCATTTAAATACTTTTATTTGTCTTCCTTTTGCCGGTGCTATTCTACTGAACAGTGTTTTTAAAAGACTGGTGAGATTTTTCACACATTTCCGTATAGTTCCACACACACGCGTTTTTATTTAAATACATTTGCAGTCAAATGTTCTGTGCTTATTCTGATGGAGCTTGTTATAGGACAGTTTTGTAGTGCAAGCAAAGTGCTGCTGCAGCACCTCTGTAAAGCCCTGCCAACTGGGAGCCCAGTTCTGACTTCCGAAGTTTGTGATGATGATTTGTTGGTGGTTTCTTGTTCTCAAGCGCATCACATATCCACATATCACCCCATCCTATCATTCTAAATTAAGTTATTGCAAGGGCTCGATAGAACAGAATACCTGAAGGTAGATTCAGTTGGCTTTAAAGATATTTCATTATTAAGATCACTATTATTGATGTCAGCCTGATTGTAACCCTAGGAACTTGTTTCTCTTTGTCCTTAAAGCCTGGAATGAACATAATTATATGTGTTGAGCAGGGGATTTGTCACATGTTTGCACAGGAGTGGTGCGGTAGCCACTATCTTCACTGTCCCACGTCTTCCAGCCTTCCTCTCTCAGCGGTGTCTCGTACTTAGATTCATGAAGTAATTTCCTCAAAGAAGGAAAAAAGTACACAGACAGTAGCTTGTGTATGAGCAACCTCTGCTTTGAGGATTTGCAGCTCACAACAGAAATGGCAGAGTGTCTTCCATCCCTAGCTCCTCAGACTGAGCCAGTGCCACTGGCTGCCAGTGGCATTGTGGAAATGCTCCTTAGGTTGGTTGCCTGTTCCCCACAAAGGCCTGATCACTCACAGCGTGCAACAGGACAGAGCAAAGCAGGAGCTGAGCAGAACAACATCAAACAGTTCTTTTTGTGAGAATATGGACAATGCTATAAAACTAACCTTGTGTTAACCCACTGAGGAACAGAGAGCAAGAATTCTGAATGCCAAAACATAAGGAGATGCATGAAAAGGAAAACTTATACAAAAGTAGACTGACTGAATAAAACTATTTATCTTTAAGCCACACAAGTCATGGTAATTAAATTAGGTCAGGCTGGCTATAGAGCTACAAAAAGCAGGCTGTAACTAATTTAGAAAGAGACAGAGGAGACTTGAAAAGAAAACAGATTGACAGGCCCCTATTTTTTTATCTAATCGAGGCAACAAAACTTAAGAAAGAGGAAACAAAAAAAAAAGCCTTGATTTATCAAGATTTTCTCTCAAACCATTAGGATAGACAAAAGCATATAGTCACATATTAGATGTGTGATGGTTTTTACGTTGTCGTTAGTGTTAGATGAGGGATACATGCATATAGACTTCATCGCTGAGAGAGACAGAATAATTGAAATCCTTAAAGCTTAGAAAGAGGTGGAAAATACAATAAAGTTTAAAGCTGATCTGAATTTTATCATTACAGTATCATTTCACCGAACCATTCTGAACATCCTTATCATCTGCTTCTATATGAAAGGAAGTTCTAAACATTTGCAAAAAGAGAACAATTAGGCTTTCATTTAAAACCACTTCTTTGTAAAAACTACCTGCTAGTTCTGATTGAAACAGACCTTTGGAAATGTTTTCAAATTTTTGCTTTGAATTTTAGTTTTTCAGAATGTGTGGAAATGCCATTATTGGAAGAATGGAAGGATTGGGAGCTTATTTTCAGGTGTGGATCCAGGCTCATTAAACAAAGTTTAAAATAATATTTTGGTTAATTTCTACAGTTTCTGCAGTTTTCAGTCCCCAAGTGATTAGAAAAATTAGCATTCCGAGGCTGTCTGAAGGGTGATAAGGACTGTGTGAACGAAATGGGGGAAGGGAATAGACAAAAGGCCCAGCTTGGTTTGTGTTCATGTTTAATAGCAAACAACCCTTTCCCACCCTGCTTCTCTTTTATGCCTGTTCTTATTTTAAGTAACTTCTAAAGGTTTTCTGGCAGCTGATGATGCTCAGCCACTACATTCATCTGAAATAAGATACGAACTTTGCCCTGCGAAGAAAATATTTGAGGTTTTACAGCATAATTAAAGGGTTGCAAATTCTTTGTGAAAATGGAAATTCTGTCCCATTCCTAGTGATAGGTCCTTCAGGGTGAAGTTTTGACCCTGCTAAAGTCAATGGAAATTCCATTCTCTTTCATTAACACAGGAGTCATCCTTCATAATCATACTTGCAACAATGAAGTGGATAGCAAAGGAGAATCTGTCTGGCTGGATATTACCATTAGATAACACTTCTTCTAGCCACTCAGAGACAGACTTTAAGAGATGCTTAGAACTGATATGCAAAAATGCATCTAGTAAGCAGGGAGGGAAAAAGCAGCATGAAGCATTTCTCTTTGCGGGACCTGATAGCTTGTGTGTAGAGACAGAAGGAAGAGCAGTCCTCTGGAAAGGTCCCCAAGAGTGAGAGAGTGCTCTTGTCGCTGCAGCAAAGCATGGTACAGAGAACATGCACAGTCTGAGCTGCCTCCCAGCTTCGAGGCTGAGCTGGCTCCAACCAGCAGGGTTTAATTCTGCTTTAGGGAAGAAGGGAAATAAGAAACCCAAAGGCTGTGACTGGAATTGCAGGACCAGACTGTGTGGAATGTGGCTAAAAAGCAAGAGTTCAGAGAAATAATTAATGAAAGAGCTAGCATGAGCAGAAAAATGTACACTTATGAGGAGATTGGAAAGTGAAAATCTTAATTCTGAATGAATTGTGGATTGGCAAAAGAGTATCCATTTTCTTTACCTTTCCCTCCATCTAATCTTCTTTCTTTTGAAGGCAGAAATTGATTTTAAAGAGTGAATCAAAAGGCTTTATATCTAATTTAGATTCCCAGCAGTGGAAATGCTCGAGTGCTAGATGTATGTTTTTGTGATAAAAAAAAATGCTCAGTCTTGTATTACGTTTTTCATCAATAATTCTCTATATATTTCAGACACACACAGCATCTCTGGTGGTAGAGAAATATTGTGGATTAAGGACATGACAGTGGAAGCCCTCATCCTTCAAGCTGAAGACCGCTCAGAGCTCCTCATCACAAGACAGAAATTTTTGTAAGCAGTTACAAAATGAATTAACAGAACCCAAGAGCATTGGCCCAGAACTTGACCCAAACACAAGCTCAGAGATTCTCAATGTTTTTGTACCAGAACTTGTTGGCAAGACTTTCTCTTCATCCCATCCCTTCTGCTTGCTTCCTCTTTCACCTTCCTACCCATCACTCAACACCGCTGATTCCACACACTGTTAGTACCTCTGCTTCCTCCCTGCACATCTGGTGTCTCTGGCAAAGGCTCTAGGGATGGCCTCCCTGCCCTTCAAGACAAACGCTGAGCTCCTTCACATCTCTGTGAGTGCACAATTATTAACACTGCAAGATGATTCTTCCTCATCTATCACTTCAAGTCATTGGGGCATAAAGAATGGCTAGCAGACTGGGTCAGCTCCATGGACACTGGAATTTCCTCTGACTTGTGCGGTACTGAATTAATATTGTTACATTGTGGAGTGGTCAGCATCACAGCCCTTTTCATTCTCATTTCTTCTGCTTTGAGAACAGAGCATATTTGAGGATAGATACTGTGGTGCATGTAACCAGATGAGGAGCAGACATAGAACTGCTCTACCTTGCATACCTTGGTTTTAAAGATCTTAATGCCACTTACGATTGTTAAATGTAGGTCAGACATTCTGCCATACTCTTCTTCACTTCTTAAGTAACCTGTTTGTGTGTCTGATGTTTATAGAATGCTGTGGAACTATCAATATATCAGAAACTGCCAATGGAGATGGGCTGAGAAACCAAGATCAGACATAGCTGTTGCCTCTGTAGGCAGATGACCATGACTACCCAGAGAGCAATATAGAGCTGGATTGTTCAAGGTAAGCCACACAAACAGATCTGAACTCCTAGGTTTCAGTATAGCAGTATACTGTTCTGTGCCAATATGAACCAAGAGAGTGAATTAAACCTAGTTTTGACAGATAGCTATTACTCTTTTTTTGTTGCTTATTGATAAAAAGGGATCTGCCAATCTATTATAGATACTGGACCTACAGAATATGGACTGTAATATCCTATATTCTACTGTGTCGGGTTTTTTTGCTTGTTTTTAATTACCCGTCTTATTTAACTAGAAGCTGTAGTTTCTATTTTGTACAGAAGATAAATTGGAGATGGCATGGAGCAGTGGAAGAGCAAAAGCCTTTAGACACTCTCCAAGATTAGAGTTTGTGAAATACTTTCCAAACATCTGCATGAGCAGTACTATATCAGCCTTCCAGCTGACTGCTTAAAAAAAAAGTCCTTTAATCTAAACCATGTTCCCTTGGATTTCCTAATGTAATTAATTCTTCATCTTCTTTTTATATTTTGCCAGCGAGAAATGGACTAGTGGTAGTTACCACTGAATCCTTTCCACTGTTTCTTTCAGTTTTGGCATGATGTTGTAGGTTTTCATTGCATGGGGATCTCCTCAAACAAAGGAAAATTGTGAAACTGTCAGATCAGATTTCATATATTACTCTTGGCATTACATTCACTAGACCCAGTACACAGTGAATTTTGAAAGCCTCTGATCTTTTTATAACCATTTCCAGTCTTATATGTACATTTTAAGTTTCTCATCTGCACTCACTGGGAATATGATTATTAAAGCTGAGGTAGATTGGATATTTTCATTCTGTAAAGATACATAGAGTTATCCATTACACCATTAATCATTACCAATATTTCATTAACCTTTCTGCGACACTTCTCATTATTTTATTAATACTGTCTTGGTGTTTTTTTCTTTCACTTTTTTCAAATTTCTGCTTTGGTTATATAATATGGTAGAGCTTATAATCAAGGTTCTTAGATGTAGGAATAGGGTAATTTAATTTAATTTATTTTCATCACCTTCATTTTTTAAGTCAGATTAATGATTGCTTTTATTATTTTTTTTACTTTGTGGTTTTCTAAAGTGTTATTTTATCTCCAAGAATCTTTGGTTTAATACATTTATGTGCTTATGTAAATAAAAAAAATGTTAAAAACTATTTAAACAAAAAGGATATTGCATTTTTATATAGCTCTGACATATAAGTTGAGATAAAATCAGTGTTTTTTTGGCTACTTTGGAGAGCAAAGTTAAGGCTTCTCAAGTATTGATCAGGAAGCGTGCTTAAGGGAACGATCACTGACAATGGGTTAGAGTTTTGAGCTTCTCCTAGCACTTTTAGCATAGTAAATATTTTCCTCCCCAACTTCTGTGTTGATCTGAAGGCCTCACAATCATATATTAGCACCTTAATTTTTACCATCCTTTAGACTGGGATATGTGTGATTTCTCTGCACCATAGTGTTCCTCATCAATCCAAAGAAATCAACCAAACTGAGGCTATGTTTACCTCTTGAGGCTTAAATAGAAGATTGCTTGACAAAATTCTCAAAGTTCATTATTGTAGTGATTCCCTTGGCCAACTCAAGAGGCCAGAGCTGAAAGAATGAGTCTCAACAACTTGGGGTATGGTCTAGATTAAGTGAAAAGGCTAGGCTTACTGGAGAACATGAACAGACAAATCCCTTGTTGCTGTGGGATCATAGCTCAGCTGTTTGTTTGAGAGAGCAATCAAACATTACTTATTTAGGAAAGAAGAATAAGTTTTCTGGAACAATTGGCTGAGATGATAGGTTATTCAGATGTCTTCTGAATGCAAACAAAACATATTATCTTCAATGCCTATGTTGTAAACAACTTGCCCCCACTTCTGAGTCCTCACCCTTATTTCTGTCATGCATACAAGCACTTTTTAAATTTTAAAGGGAGAGTTTTTGTAAATGTGGATTAAACTTCTGATTGTTCTTCTGTTCTTATCTGTACAGACCATAGGCAAGTCAGCACAGAATATCTGTGTCCATTTGTTGTGAGTATGGTGGACTGTTTGCAGCAGTCATATTTAGGGATTAGTAACTCTCCTAATGGATTATGTCTACTCTGTTTTTTAATTACTTTCTATTTTTCTTGCCACCTACTTGCCTATCAGTATGAATCTGCACCCCAATACTGTTTGAAGCATCAGTTTGTTTCTACTTTTCTGCCCTTTGTTTTTGAGGTACTATTCAAATTCCATTTTTTTTTCCTAGCTGAGATGAAAGTCTGTCCTTGTCTTCATACTGAATGTTGGTCTTCTAGCTCTACGTGTCTTTTGATGGATCCTGTTATCGGTGCCATATCCACAATCTTTTGAAATTTCAGATAGTATATCCAGCTCACACATCAATGTGGCTGCTTTTATTTATCTCTGTACAGCATGCCTAACTGACATTATATCTGCCATCTTTCTTTGCGAACTGCTCTGCATGAGGCATGAGTAGAATTTTCTTCATTTTCTATCTTCAACACATTAAGCATTTCTACCTCTGTTTCCTGTTTTTTATCAGATTACTATTTCTTCTCTACATACTGAAATACCATCGTGTTTCAGTTTGAGTAAGCTGGTGAGTAATCCTTCCAAAGCAAAAAAAAAAAAAAAATCTTCTCTAACACAGTTGTACCTCAAGAGTGCGGTTGGGTTGAGCTGGAACATGTCAGAAACAAATCCTTCCCAAGCCATCAGGGAATAATTCTTCATGGATCCTTCTCTTAACTTAGAGTCTCCTTCTTCAGAAAAATTCCAAATTTAGCTCAGCTATTTTTTTTCTGCAAAGGGAAGATATGTGTAATGTCTCTGAGAGCAGGACATTGAGACATTTTCCCTTAATGAAGTCTGTGGAGAGTGTTGCCTTTGCTGGTCTTAACAACAAGCATGTTGTTAAAACAGAAACTCTGCAAGTCATTAGCTAGTTTTATCTTTCTTTCAAAGAAGATAAAAACAACCAGACAAAACAAAACAAAAAAATCTGATCAAAATGCCCATCCAACAATATCTGAAAAGAAACTTTTTGTTAGACTGATCGTTTTCCTCTGTAACAACGATGACAAACAAAGGAAACTCATGCATTAACTTTTTGATTCTCAGAGAAGAAACTCTGTAATCTAAGAAATGTTTTGCATTTAGAAAATTTGTATAGAACAAAAGTTAATGCTTAGATTGGGCTTCCGTGGTATGCATATGCCAGCTTTAGCACTCTGCATTAAATTTTTGTATCTGAAAGTAGTTTTTGGAAGCAAATATCACAGCACTAAATAGAGAACAGTGAAGTAAACAGAAATATGATAAGGTTATCAGTGAGTACAGCCTGAAAGAAAGTAGTCCTTAGTAAGTAGAAAGGAAAGTGTTTTAGGTGGGAGTTCCTGTGTTTGACAGAGCCTCAAGCTTTAAGTGATTTGGGCAGAAAATCTGTGAGGTGGGCTCACAGTGGTTCACCTTGTGACCAAGCACATCAGGGAAGCTGCTATACAGCATCAACTTCAGCATGGAGATTATTACACCACTTAACCTTATCCTTAGGTCAGGCCCTCCTAGATCCATTTGCTGGCACTTGGTTTCCTCCCACTTCCAAAAGCCCTTGAGATGGTCTGAAAATAAAGGGCCTGTTTTACTTCAAATCATTTAGCATGGACCTAGTTTTGGTCATGTAACCTGTAGCAAAGCAGGGCAGCACAAGAGCATTGCAACATTACTGTGGTACAGAGTAAGCAACTTTGTGTGACACTGGTAACCCTGGCATTCGAGATACCATTTCCTATTATCAGGACTTCAATCGTATTGCTAGCTGGTAAAGTCAGTAATTTCAACTTCTAGAAGTGAATATGATTCTTGCAGAATAATGACTGAACTTAATTCTATTTCATCTTTAATTTTTTTTTTTTGAGATTCATTCACAGAAAAGGGAAGGGGAGGGGAGGAAAGGGAAGGTTGTGGTGATGAGAGGTTTGGCCTCTTCTCCCAGGCAACAAGCAGGACTCGAGGAAATGGCCGCAAGTTGCACCGGAGCAGGTTTAGATTAGACATAAGGAAGAACTTTTTCTCTCATAGAGTGGTCAGGCACTGGAATGGCTGCCCAGGGAGGCGGTGGAGTTGCTGTCCCTGGCAGTGTTCAAGAGGTGTCTGGATGAGGAGCTACGGGATATGGTTGGTGGTAGCAATGGTAATAGGAGGATGGTTGGACTAGATGATCTTGCAGGTCTTTTCCTACCTTGTGATTCTATGATTCTATGGTATTGGGCTGTATAAGGCAGAGAAGGAGGCATGGCAAGCACATGTCACACTCTGGTTGTTCTCAGCTGGAAGATGGTCCTATGAAAGACCCTGATGATCTCTCACCTTAATCCAGGGTCCTGACAGAATTTGTAATTTGGCCTAAATCATGATTCCACTATATATAAAATTGAACCAGTGGGTCTTGTTTAACTAGGAGGATTAAGCTGTTTTTAATTTGTAGATGTGCACGAATCATTCAGATTGAAGACAATGTACCACGTGTAGTACATTAACTTATTCTCTTACTAGCGAAATTAATTGATTAGTTTTTCCTAAGTGAATAATGAATGGAAAAAAAGCTTTTGTTTAAGTAAAATGTTGGCTTATTTTGTTATGATTAATACAAACTATTGCTGGAGGTGGTCTTAATAAAAGTCTCATGGTGTCCTTAAGCCGTAACTCTTGGGGCCAGCTCCTTTCTTACAACCTCTTCCTGAGTGAGGGTGCTTTGGCAGAGCACAGTACAGAGCTGTGTGCCCCGTTTTGGGAGCAGCTTATACAGCAACCTGGGTCTGTGGAACTTTGGCAGGTAAAGAAATGCTTTGGAAATCTGTGGGAATGCTGATGACCTGACAGTGATTTATAATATTACCTTAGAAAAATAAATATCTGTATGATCCAGCAGAACCTGTCAGGATGGATAAAACAAAGATTTGCTGTTAACCATACTGTACAGCTTTCTAACCTGCTGAACT